TCAACCCTTTTTGGGTTTATTATTCTACGAATTTTTTTTACAGTGTGTGATCCTCTTTCTCTCTTCTTCTCTGTCTCTCATATACACATCTGCACTTTTTCACACAGACACTCATCACACTAAATCTCCAATATGATAAAATTGGAGATCTCGGAGCACAACATCTGGCTGATGCATTACAACATAACACAGTGACTCTCTTTCTCTCTTCCTCTCTGTCTCTCATATACACATCTGCACTTTTTCACACAGACACTCACCACACTACATCTCGGAGGCAATCAAATCGGAGATATTGGAGCACAACATCTTGCTGATGCATTACAACATAACACAGTGACTCTCTTTCTCTCTTCTTCTCTCTCTCTCTCATATACACATCTGCACTTTTTCACACAGACGCTCACCACACTACATCTCAGAGGCAATCAAATCGGAGATATCGGAGCACAACATCTGGCTGATGCATTACAACATAACACGGTGACTCTCTTTCTCTCTTCTTCTTCTCTCTCTCTCTCATATATACATCTGCACTTTTTCACACAGATACTTACCACACTAAATCTCGGATTCAATCAAATCGAAGATATCGGAGTACAACATCTTGCTGATGCATTACAATATAACACAGTGACTCTCTTTCTCTCTTCTTCTCTCTCTCTCTCATATACACATCTGCACTTTTTCACACAGATACTTACCACACTAGATCTCGGGTTCAATCAAATCGAAGATATCGGAGCACAACATCTTGCTGATGCATTACAACATAACACAGTGACTCTCTTTCTCTCTTCTTCTTCTCTCTCTCTCTCATATATACATCTGCACTTTTTCACACAGACACTCATCACACTAAATCTCCAATACGATAAAATTGGAGATCTCGGAGCACAACATCTTGCTGATGCATTACAACATAACACAGTGACTCTCTTTCTCTCTTCTTCTCTGTCTCTCATATACACATCTGCACTTTTTCACACAGACACTCATCACACTAAATCTCCAATATGATAAAATTGGAGATCTCGGAGCACAACATCTGGCTGATGCATTACAACATAACACAGTGACTCTCTTTCTCTCTTCTCTCTCTCTCATATACACATCTGCACTTTTTCACACAGACACTCACCACACTACATCTCAGAGGCAGTCAAATCGGACCTATCGGAGCACAGCATCTGGCTGATGCATTACAACATAACACAGTGACTCTCTTTCTCT